CACACACACACACACACACACACACACACACACACACACACACACACACACACACACACATGCAACATTGCAGTACAAACAACTCTGCCCCAAGGGCCTTCTGGAAATTCAAAGGGAAAAACCTGCCAAGGGAGTTGAAGTCCTTGCCGTCAAGGGTTTAAGGGGCCCGTAGCGGCCAAACTAGGATGTAACTCCCCGGTTCAAGGGAAGAGGGTGGAGTTATTTTTAGTGTTTTCATGTTTACCGCCACGCTCTAGCCCGAAATACCCCAAGATGTGTTCATCCGACCAAGATGTGCATAATCAAATGCTTCGCTGGATGTACTCCCACTTTCCCCACCTAGGCAATGACCCACATAGAATCGGTCTGAGATTTCTGAACTTTTTTCGTTTTGCTCACGCATTTGTTCTCCCAGTCTTCCCCACGTATGCAATGACCCACATAGAATCGGTCTGAGATTTCTGCACTTTTTTCTGTGTATTGCCGCTGGATGGATTAATTTGCTGAGATTTCTGTCTTCTGAGAGAGACAGGGCATCGCTGGGGAAAGTGAGTTCACAGGTTAAGCTCATCCGGATGTCAGCAAAAGATCATTCACTCATGCTTTCCACACTCGTGGAAAACAACAACCTCGGCTGCAATAAAAGGCTGCAAAGGATGGATACAGCAAGGACAAGTACTCGGATTGGCTTCAAAATACTATGTGTGCTGACATCATTGATATGATGAGAACTCGGTGGGAAAGAGCGGTCGTTTTTCGAGGAAGCATACCCTGCAAGATATGTTTGCAGCCCAGAAGGCCCGCAAACAGATTCAAAACTTGAGTCTGACCATTTGCGTGGGCACCATGCAAGGATTGTCCCAACGGGCAGTTGCACTTTTTGCAAAGAAATAACTAAACTTGCTAAAGTTAGAAGCAGGGCAGGGTGTGGCCCCTCCAAGCTTGATTCGTCGCCTTGGCACCGCTAGATATGATGAGTGGGAAGCCTTCATGACTGATCTGAAAAAGTTGGATGCAATAGATCAGATTCATCAGAACTTACCACATGCTGGTATGGGGCCAAAGAAGTCATTGTCTCGAAACGTTCTATTGGTAGACAGTGTCTCGCTGGATACAACATGGTGGAGCAAGGTGGAGACGCATCATCCAAAGAGGACTCAAACCTGAGTTTTCCCAGGTTTGGGACTGAGTTCGAAGGCGAGTGTTGTTCAACATAGGCTGTGGATGACCAAGAGTATGAGGACGCAACGCAAAGTTAAATGCATACAAAAAGTCGACCAGTCTGCGAACTATCCCAACAAGAAGAATATGCATTTTGTCTTGTCCAAAAGGATGCTACGACCCCGGAACATCCTAGGAAAAAAGCATCTTGTCCATGGAAAGCCTCAAGATTTCATAACAAACTTGACAGAGCCGCCTAGACGAAAAGGTCTGCCTGCATTGCAAGAAAGGGGGACGCTTTGTATGGGAATTTTTGCATCCTAACTTCCTAAGGGAAACCCGAGTTAGGCATAGGGAGTATGTCAGTCCTCTCTACATAGGGGAAAGAACAGCTAGCAGCACGGAGGACGGAGACTGTTTTCCAAACCAGTCCTTCAAACCGTCTCCGGACCAGGCAGCCCAATCGCAGGCTGACATCTAGGCTACACAACCCCATTTTTCTCATATCGATCCTTAGAACAGCCGGAAAGAAATTGATTTTCATGCTCACAAGCTCAGATGGAATCAAGACAAGAAAGACGGTCAATGCGGCGGTGTGAAGTTGACGTACTTCCGGCTACTGATCAATCGCTTGTGCATTAACCCATTGATGGACAGCGGCGCCACAACCAATTCTATTCCCCCCGTGCTGCATCTGCAACACACATCTTCGTATAAAGGCAGGCTGAGGAATACCGAGGTTAGTGACCAAGCAGTTGTCGCTTGCTCAAAAGCAGTCAAAGGTATTCCTATCCTACTACCTTCAACAACGACAGATACATCACACACTCCTTGAAATTATATATCATGGATGAATGCCCCTTCAATGTTGTTATCTGGTTGGTGGTTGCCTGTGTGCATGATGTGAATCTACCAAACGGAAGAGCTAAAACCACCAGTACATGCCAGCTATCGGCCGCGGGCCCCTTTCGGAGGCTGCCCACCACCAATTCACTTTATCTACGGCGCTCAGCCTCCTAAATTTTCAGAGAGGCTCAAAACAGGTTCTCCAGTTGCCTGGGGCTATGTACTGGTGGTTTAAAGCACCAGTACACCACGCATCGGCCCGCGGGTGTCAGCACGAAACCCGCAACACTTCGAAGGCCACCGATTTTTTTTTCAACGGCGCCCCACGCCGCGCGGCCCCTCCAAGTTTTGCTTATGGCGACAAAAACTTTCTGCAAGCGTGCGGCCGTGTACTCGTGGTTTAAGGTCACTATGGAAATTCTGAGGGTTGGATCCCAAATGTCTTGTTGGATGAGGATCACGGGCCCTCCATAATGTTTACCTGCACGAGCACTGCAAAATTCTGTAGAAAGTTTGATGGTAAGACTGAATGTATGTTGCTTTTGCTAAACCTCCAGGTGCTGCTTCATTTATTTCTACTTCAGCACGTACTTCAACATATACTTTAGCATATACTTCAGCATCTACTTTATCATCATCTACTTCTAAAATTCAATCTAGTCAAGTCATTCCAGCCAATCTTCTGTCTCTTCTTGATTAATAACAGGAAGTACTTGCAGATTCGAGTTGTGGCGCTGTCAAACACAAGATTAACATCTAATAAGACAGCAAATCTTCTAGGGGTTGTGTGTACCGCATAGGGCCAGCTGAACCAGACAAACTGCAAAGGCTGATCAAGGAATTGCTTAACAAAGGATGGATCAGATCCAGTGAGTTTGAGCATGAGCTCCAATATTATTTGTGCTGAAAAAGAAGAAACAGGTTCGAATAAGCATTGATTACCGCGAGGATTCAACAAAACCACAAGAAAAGCCCACTTATCCTCTTCCCCGAATTGATAACTTCCCTGTATGGGTCATTGGTTGTAAAGTGTTCTCCAAGATGGATGCCAAACTTGGCTATCACAAGATTGAAGTTGATCCTGCAAATCAGCACAAGACTGCATTCAAGACGCACAATGAACTATACGAATTCATTGTTATTTCCCTTGGCCTCGCGAACGTACCGGCTACATTTCAGAATCTGATGGACCAGGTCTCCAAAACTCAACAAGTCTGTGGTCGTGTATATATATATATATATATATCGTCAAATAGAACTGCCCGGTAAATATATATATATATATATATATATCGTCACAAACAGAACTGCCCGGTAAACCGTAGGCAGAGAGAGAGAAGAGGACAACAAACGAGGGGCTGTGACAAACTGTTTC